GGGCCGGCCCTGACGTCCGGCTGCGGCCTCCTCCCGCCGTAAGCGCTCCCCGCAGTCTCGTCGTGGGACAGGAGCGGGCTGGCCCTCAGCGGCTGTTGTTTGGCCCCTCAGTGCGATCTTTCGTTTCAGTGATGCTTTAAGTGAAGCCCGACCTTCTCTGGTCCTCGAGAGACCCGCGGATAAAATACGTGTCTCATCAGAAACGCGCCGAGATCGCGTCTCGGGCCTGTTACTCTTCCTACGTAGCGAGTAGACAAGCTGTCATTTCATTTCAAGTAGTTTTTCCTTAGTTGAAGGAACAATAAGCCTCCCCCACAGTTTCATTCAGTAACTGCTTGCTTTCGTACCTGTGTGCTTATATCAAAGTTTTCTCACATTTGGATAATAAGCAGTCATTGGGTGTTTTCAGTTGGCATGCAGTGTTTCCTTACAGATTCATAAGTAGGTCGTTTATATTTCTGTACCTACTTTGAGGAGATTGACTTGTCAGGAAAGAGTTCTCAGATTCCAGTTTACAAGGATGCCCATAAGCCATTAATCAGTCTGCCTTAATACTGAAAAAATACGCTTTTAAGTGTTGGTCCTTCCTCTCTGCTAGGACCAGACCTGTTCTGCATGCTTCTCAGTTTGGTTTTTGTTCTTTGGCATCATCTCCTTCGCTGGGGACTTTGGGTTTAATACAGAGCAGGTTAACACTGCTTTGCCTCTGACAATAGAGAAGACCAAACCAGTCTTTAATGCTCCTTTTGTGTGATATGCTTTCTGGAAATCTTTGTCTTTTTTTATGTTGCTCCATGTATTTGGAACATCTTTCCTCTTGTGCGTTCAGTGTTGTTGCTAAAGGAAGTCCAGTGTTTTCATTTCTCCGTTGCTGACTGACAGCTTCAACTTCTGACCTGTGTCTCACATCCCCACTGTTTCTGAGGAGTGCTCTGCAGTGCAAAGCACGTGCTACACGCTGGGTTCATTGTAGGCTGGTGGAGGGGAGCTTGAAAATATAATTTTGGTGAAGCTGATGAGCGTTTTCAGTCTGGTCTATGCTGTGCTCTTCCCTTTTTGTTATTATCATTGTCTGTGGCGTAACCTAAGTCTTGAGTGGTGTAACCTGAGTGTAAACCTTTCTTTTGATATGCATGCCTGTTGTGTATCCGCTAGGCCCATTCCTTTTTAAAATGGGGTATTCAGGCATGTTAAATGGCTTTGTGATTAATAATTAGCATAGTTATTATTCATAAATATATCTTTTCACGTTGGAAGTGCAGATGTCAACCCAGGACCCCAATCCAGTATGGCTAAAGTATTGTTTTGTGTACCTGGTATGCATAATTCTTTTTTTTTTTTCCTCTTCTTTAGATGATGAAAGTCACACAGAATCAAAGCTTCAGCACGAACAAGATAAATCAAACTCCCTTCCCATTCCTTCAGTTTCTAAGCGAATTGTGCTTGGTGATTCTGTCTGTAATGTGACAGGCACGGCTGACCATGCAGGCAGCATGGTAGACCTCAAAGGGGATAAGGACTTGTTCAGTAAATCTTCAGAGCTGATCAATGAGGGTACGAGTGAGCTCCGTCACCGTAATAGAGGGGAACTGCCATCTGAAGCTGCATCACGGCCACCTAGACATGGATTAGACCAGTACTTATCCAGATTTGATGAAGCTCTGAAGCTGAGGAACCAGCTGATGAATGAGAAGCCAAGCCAAGAGAATGGGAATGCAGGGGAGGAGTTTGACTCTTTCCGTATTTTCAGATTGGTGGGATGTGCTTTGCTTGCCATCGCAGTCAGGGCTTTTGTGTGCAAGTACTTGGTGAGTTGAGAGAAAGAAACGATCCTTTCCTTTTCTGTTTTGTTAGTCTGGTGCAAACTTACTGTGAAATACCCCTTCTAGGACTGAAGGCTATCAGTAGTGATTGAGTTGGGAACTTCAGACATTTTCAACAGCTGTACAAATCATTTAAAAAATACTTAAATTCTTTGTGATGAATCTGTGTTACCTAGCACAGCCACTGTATTACAGCTGAGAGTGGCACACTGGTCCGTGATGTTTGAGGAGCAGAAGCAGTGGAAATAGTGGTTGCAGCTTGAGTCTCCTGCAAGTTTATTTCCATCTTTGTGAGCATGAGTCCACTGCTCTTCTAGTTTGAAGTCTACTGAAGACTAATAGAGTAAGAACAGCAGTAGTTGTCCCAAGATAAGCAGATCCTACTCATTCATAACTTTTCTCAGAAAAGCTGTTCCTCAATATTCCAGGTGTTTGCCAGTGCCTCGTACAGAGTCGTATGGCTGGTACAGCCTGCCACCTCCTGGATCACTGGGCTGTTTTACACACTGCTCTATGCTTCTGCGATTTCAGGTTTTTAGGCTAAAAAAAAAAAAAAAAAAGCCTGAACCTTATTTTTGACATGTAATTTGTCTATTTAGATTTGTAGTATTCAAAAATACTGTTGCTGTTGTCCAGAAATTATTTTTTTATCTACCTAATTTATGATTTTGGAAGCATTAAATTTCTGTGTTTTCTTAGCTATCACTTCTGACCAAGTTAATTTTTGTATATTCTTTTCTGTTCCTTCAGTCAATATTTGCACCATTTCTTACTCTACAACTTGCTTACATGGGACTGTCCAAGTACTTTCCAAAGGTAAAATCTTTTTCAGAATTAATTTGAAATGTTTTTAATACTTGTCTTTAGATTGTATTATTTTAGGACCAATGCATCAGAAGTATTCTGCCCTTGTTTTATACTGTAGAATTGAGAGTTACCAAATGCTGATAGTTGATACGAGTTTTTAATCTTCCCAGATTTAGTCCACATCTTTTTTTTAAATTGCTGTGAAAATGTGGAGTAGCAGTTTGTTTAGCTGTAGCCTAATTAAGAGCATCTGACCAGGAAAACCAGGTAGTTCTTTAATGTCTGTAGGAAACTTTTGCTTTTCTCCCAGACTGTGCTCTTCTGTGGTTACTGTTTGGTCTGTCAGCAGCTGTTTTGCATGTAATACCTGGATGAAATTTGGGAGGGTGCTTTTTAAAAAACGAGACAGCCCTTTTAAGGGCTGTGCATTCCATGTTAGTATCAGTTTGAATGGCAGCTTGAATTGAGACATTTGTGTGCGAAACTTGATGCTTATTAGCAAGTTTTGCTATATCAGTTGCTTATATATTTTACACCAGTTAATTGTGCTGAAGTATTTGTTTCATTGATGATTTTGTCAGGTCTACAGTGCAAAGTAGGATTGAATGATGCTCAATCTATAGTTGAAAGGGGAAATTTGCATTTTAAAAGGAATAATAAATTACATGTAGAAAATCAGAATAAATCAGCAGTTCTTTTGTAGTTAAGTATATCACTGAAAACTGAACTTCATAGTAATCATTCTAAACTGACATGTCACAACACAAAACAGTAGCATTAGTCTTAGACTTGCACTAGCTCATCTACTAGATCTTTTTGATCTTGCTTCTGCTATTTTTAAAATCAGCCCTTCAGTTTCAGAATTTAAAGAGATGATTCCTTTCCACACGTTGCTTTTACTGCACTTAGACCCAGATCAGGTCAATCCCCTTCTTAACCTTCTTTTTTTTCTCTCCTGAAACCTAGAGTCTTGAAAGCTTAATTTAGATTGGATTAAATTAATCTATCCAGCAAGTATAATTAAATTACAAAAATTTTCAGCCCCTGACACCTTTTCCTGCCTCAGACTTTGCATCCTTGGTGATCTTCATTGTAAGGGCAGAAGAATGGCTTTCGAAAGGGGTTTGGGGCATTTCTGAGTTCAGAGGATAAAATTGGCAAATGGAGTTATACTAAAATGGGGAGAAACCGTTGGTTTTCAATTCTAAGTAATTTTTAAAATTATTTAAATAATTCTAAATAATTTCTGTGTCAGAAAAGTAACTGGTTTTTGCCAAGTAGTGTGAAGAGATTAATCCTGTTCTGTCAGTGGAGGAGGCCTGTTGGCTTCTTAGACCCAGCTGGCCCTTGTCTGGGACTCTTCTCACTCCTGCAGAAGCTGTGTGTGACATATAAAGCTAAGTGGATTGTAACAGAAGAACTAACATAATACTGTGTGGTTTGTTTTTTTTTTTTTTACTTTTAGTGTGAGAAGAAGGCAAAAACGACAGTATTAACTGCTGCTCTTTTACTGTCTGGAATCCCCGCTGAAGTGATAAGTCGCTCCATGGACACCTACAGCAAAATGGGAGATGTTTTCACAGACCTTTGTGTCTATTTCTTTACTTTTATCTTTTGCCATGAACTTATTCTGTTTTTTGGTTCTGAAGTACCATGATGGTTCTGAAGTACCATGTAGTTACACTAAAGCTGTCTGGACTGTGTTCCTTTAACGACTGACTGTGCACACAGGTTTAAACCTTCATTAAATTTCTCACCTGTTCAAATGCTTGAAAGGAGCCTTAAATTCAGTCAGTTTGGGAAAGGAAGAGCAGCATCCCAGACTGCCAGTTGTGTTGGTTCAGCTTATTGAAATACTGTGTCTGCCTATTACAAATGTGAAGAATAGGATGCAAGTGTCAGTGGATGATTTATTTGGTTTAGATAATGCCCTTCTCAGCCTCCTTCATAAACATCTGCAAAAAACGCCTTTGTTCTTTTCCATGAGAACAAAGATAAGAATTCCTTTCAGCAGAACCATAAATATATGTATGTGTCCAGTATGTCTATAGCTAACAAGAACTGCTCGTTTTGTGGTGATCCCATTTTTTTTAAGAAAGCTCTAAATAAAAGAAATCCCCGTATTCTGTTGTTCAGATTCAGAATATTGAACCAAGTAGCTGCTTCTGGACAGTGTTGGTGAAACATGCCACTTTGTTGTCCCAACCCTTGCCTCACTATACCTTATTTGTTGCGATTGTGATTAATTTCATTTGATGATAATAGTGCAAAACAGCTAAGCAAACCCAACAACAAAGTCCTGTCGCTTACAAATGTCATTAATCAAAAAGTAGGAAGAAACGAAATTGTTCATCTCACCTGTTTGTGAGTTTTCAGCAGCCTAATCCTAGTGTAGCTCATACATGTGCTTTCATTCTGATGCCTTTTTGTTATTTTAAGTTCATCTCATGAAGGGAAAGTTGCATATATTGGCAACCAACCTGCAGTATCAAACCTTTGCTCTAGTATATGTAACAAGGGAACTTTTTTTTTTTCCTAGCTCCTTGCAGGATTGCATAAGGCAACTTTTAATATGACATTAATTTCTGCAGTTTGTTTATTACCAGACATTTGCATGTGAACAGAATCCCAGCTGTGGAGTTCTGCTCCTGCTACATAACACTACCACCCAACAGCACACAGTCTTTGATTCAGCAGAGCTATTTATGTTCATGTTTTTGTTGTGTTCTTGAAATTGCCCCGGTGAAATCACAGTAGCCATTCCTGTTTAAATCCTGTATACTACAAGTGACAGTGAAATGAAAAGTAGTGCTGTGAGCTGCCTCCCACATGAAGATCTGTGTTTGAAGGGAGAGCAGCATTCTGTTTTTTTCTGTGGCTGTCCAGCCACATAGGTGAAAATCAGACAAATAAGATGAACCCTGTCACTGGAGAAAGTCACAAGCTAGCGAATGCTCTTGTTTTCTTTCTCGTATGAATTTTGCACAGTGAGAGGAAGGAATTGTCATTCCAGATAGTTTAAATGCTGATAATCTGTGAAAATGTCTATTGAAGCTAAATTTTATATTCTTTTCAACTTGTTTTCTGTTCAGAATCTGGACTTTCAGGTAATCTAGGCCAATGCCTTTTCTTAGCATAGAGAAACACCTATTTATCTTGGTATTTGTCTGCAGAAATCTTTTTAGGGAGCGAAAGTACTTGATTATGCCTCATTAAATAGCCCTGCTTCCTGCTTAATCTTGTCTATTAAAAGCTTCCTGCTCTAATTTTAGCACTGCATTTCTGACTTTAAGTTTGTTTTATGTTTGTGGCATGAAAACAAGAAGCTTACGTTTTGATTTGGCAGTTTTTATGTTTTTTACTGATTATTTTACAGTGAATATTGTTACAGGTGTTGTGGGCTGGGCTGCAAGAGATTCTGATTTAGGTCTATTAGCACCAATATTTATTCAGAAGCTTTAGATTTGTTTATAGTAGGACAGGAATTTCTGCTAATTGAAATAGCTGTCATTTAAATTAAGATGTGTAAATAATGGGTTTGCTCGAGAGGTACGCTTGTTCTATCAAAATGCCCAAATGTAATGCAAATAAATGGCAAAAATATTGTGTACTCACATCTGGAAAAAGCAATTTTTAATATGCAGCATAGAAATTTTAATCCTAATCAGCTAAATATTAAGAAAAGAGCTGACCCACCTGCTGTATGTTCACGCAACCCCTTGCACCATTCTATGCAAGGAAAGATGAAGTGAGTTTTCTTCTTGGGCAGTGAAAGAAATCTTGCTGCATGACCTAACCTAGAACTTTTCAGCCCATAAATACTATTTTTTGTCCGATGACTTGAGGGTGGGCTGGAGGAACCCTCCCTGCCCTTGGATGAACGGGCATGGCACCTGGCGGGGCTTGCTCCAAATGATGCTTCTCCTTTGGTCAAGAAACAAATCCCTTTTATTCTGTTTTTAACTTATGTTCATGTACATAATTCTATTTAATGTTTATTGCCAAACTGATTGTTTTCTATTAAAAGTATATTTGTTACCCCCTTCCTTGGCGATTTGTCCTGGCTTGGCAAGAAGGGCGTGATGCGCCGTGGACACCTCACACCGGGAATCCCAGCTGGGCTGCAGGGACAAGGCTGAGGCATTTTCTGGGGCCGTTACGCCGAGCGGGATGACGGGCAGGAAGTTTTGAGGTGTTGATGCCTGTTTTGGGGCAGCGCTGCCCGTTCTGAGGCGTTGACACCCGTTTGGGGGCGGTTCTGACCTTTTGGAAGGCGTTGACACCCATTTTGGGGCGGTTCTGACCTTTTGGAAGGCGTTGACACCCATTTTGGGGCGGTTCTGGCCTTTTGGAAGGCGTTGACACCCATTTTGGGGCGGTTCTGGCCTTTTGGAAGGCGTTGACACCCATTTTGGGGCGGTTCTGGCCTTTTGGAAGGCGTTGACACCCATTTTGGGGCGGTTCTGGCCTTTTGGAAGGCGTTGACACCCATTTTGGGGCGGTTCTGGCCTTTTGGAAGGCGTTGACACCCATTTTGGGGCGGTTCTGGCCTTTTGGAAGGCGTTGACACCCATTTTGGGGCGGTTCTGGCCTTTTGGAAGGCGTTGACACCCATTTTGGGGCGGTTCTGGCCTTTTGGAAGGCGTTGACACCCATTTTGGGGCGGTTCTGGCCTTTTGGAAGGCGTTGACACCCATTTTGGGGCGGTTCTGGCCTTTTGGAAGGCGTTGACACCCATTTTGGGGCGGTTCTGGCCTTTTGGAAGGCGTTGACACCCATTTTGGGGCGGTTCTGGCCTTTTGGAAGGCGTTGACACCCATTTTGGGGCGGTTCTGGCCTTTTGGAAGGCGTTGACACCCATTTTGGGGCGGTTCTGGCCTTTTGGAAGGCGTTGACACCCATTTTGGGGCGGTTCTGACCTTTTGGAAGGCGTTGACACCCATTTTGGGGCGGTTCTGGCCTTTTGGAAGGCGTTGACACCCATTTTGGGGCGGTTCTGGCCTTTTGGAAGGCGTTGACACCCATTTTGGGGCGGTTCTGGCCTTTTGGAAGGCGTTGACACCCATTTTGGGGCGGTTCTGGCCTTTTGGAAGGCGTTGACACCCATTTTGGGGCGGTTCTGGCCTTTTGGAAGGCGTTGACACCCATTTTGGGGCGGTTCTGGCCTTTTGGAAGGCGTTGACACCCATTTTGGGGCGGTTCTGGCCTTTTGGAAGGCGTTGACACCCATTTTGGGGCGGTTCTGGCCTTTTGGAAGGCGTTGACACCCATTTTGGGGCGGTTCTGGCCTTTTG